GATCTATCTCTGATGACTTTGGCACTTCCTCCCTTTTTGTATTAAGAATTTATTGAAGCATAACAAAACGTTTCACCCAATGTGAATGTACAGTCCAATGAAATTTAGTTACAGAGCTGTAAAGCCATCAAGAGAGACCATTTCCATTGCCCCAAAAGGAAACTTTGAGCCTATGATGGTAATGGCCCACTGCTGCCTTCAGCCCTAGAGTCTCTTCTTTCTTTGTGGATTTACCTTTATTAGTAATATATATAATTACATATAAATGTAATTATACAATATTTATATCTGCTTCTTTCATTTATCATAATGTTTTTGAAGTTCTTTATCTACACTGCCACAGACGTTACATTGCTGAGTAGTATCTTACTGTTATTTGGGCATACCACAATTTATTCACAGGTTGAGAGACATTTTGGATCATTTCAAATTTGAGGCTCTAGTTAACAATGTTGCTATTTGTGTATATTTGTGAATATATGTCATTACATTTTTATTAATCTCTGATGGATTCCTAGGAGCAGAATTTGAGGGTTGAGTGCTAAGTTTATGCTTAGTTTTTTTTTTAAAGAAATTGCCCAAATTCTATCTGTCCAATTGTGCATTCCCTACTAGCAAGGAACAAGGGTTCCAGTTTCTCCACATCTTTGCCAACACTTGGTATTATCTATCATTTTTACTATAGCCATTCTAGTGTGAGCTTAATGGTATCTCATTGTAGTTATAATTTGTACTTTCCTAAAAGATATTGATCATCTTTTCACGTATTTATTTCCCATCTGGGGTGAATTATCTGTTACAATACTTTTGCCTATTTTATATACTTCTTTGTCATCTTATTGAATTGTAAAGTTTATCTCCTTTTAAACCCTTGATAAGATTTTAATTTTGTAAGTCTAATGTTAAACATGCACAGATGAATAAGATGGTAGCATTCACGGGATCACATAGTTCCTGGAAAGTTTTCTTAAATTTGTTGTTAGTATAAAGGTTATACTCAGAGGGGTTATAGTTATATAAGTTGGATAAATTGTACCTTTCTTTTTTGGGGGGGGGTCCGGTCATGGGGCCTGAACTCTGGGCCTGGATGCTGTCCCTCAGCTCTTCAGCTCAAGGCTAGCGCTCTACCACTTGAGCCACAGCGCCACTTCCAGCTTTTTTCTTTTTTGCTTATGTGGTGCTGAGGAATCGAACCCAGGACCTCATGCATGCAAGGCAAGCGCTTTACCACTGAGCCACCTTCCCAGCCCTGTACCTTTCTTTTTGGACAATGTCACCCCTTCCCTTGCTCTCTCCCAGTTTTTCCTGGAAAGGGTTTTACACTTACATGGCATCCTGAGTCCTGGTAGGCAGGCATCCTTCACTTTTAGAAGAAGATATTGTTGCCCAAATATGCAAAATAAGGGGTTCAGGTTAATCAATTCCTTGTCCCTTGGGACCAGGAGGTCAGGGGTACTGGTAGAAACCTGCCTAGGGCCTATGGCAGGGCCTGGTGCTATTCCAAGGTGTGCCTGGAAACAGAATTGCTGTGGAACTTGGAGCCAAGCCTTGGACATATGTTTGGTAGTAGAGTTGTGCTTCTTTGCTGTGTCAGAAGCCAGGTGCCCGGGTATCCGGAGATGATGGTTAGAAGGTCCTGTTGGCTTTGGCTTGGCTTCTTGGCCTTTGGGCATGCTGGATTTCATAGGTGGCTGCTGGCAGCAGGACACTTTGTCTTTTCTCGCTTCATAAATATTTCCATCTAGGGCCTTCCCTGTGGCAGAGCAGCTGTATCTCTTCACCCTTGGTGACCCTGCCCTGCAGGACTCATTCCTGCATCTGGCTTCACACTCTGTAGGCTTCTGTGCCTGTGTCTGTAAGCCATGGCAGCTTTCCACCTGCAGAAGTGTGCATCTTCCCTGGGAATCCTTCCTGACTTCTTTGGGCATAGACATCTGCTGATGGCCAGACCAGATGGGCAGTCCCAGGCTCTCATCTGGATGACAGGAGAGGGGAACAGAATGTTTTCAGTTATCTTTCTCCAGACAGAGATAATAGTTATTATACTATGAAAGGATTTAAGTGTCTCCTGAATATTAAAACATTGCACAAGCCACTTTACATTTGAGTTCTCACCATCCTCTCTCAGAATATTTTGATCTCTCCCTTTCCCTTTGTTAACTCGTAAGACTCCTGTGAGAAGTATTTACACTGTGAGCTCTGCTTCCCGCCCAAAGCAACTAAATGAGCATTGCAGCTGCCAAAAGACTCCACTCGATGGCTTGTTGAATTCAATGGAACGAGGTGTTAATAGAGTCAGGGGAAGTGATGCTAGTTTAAAAAATGACATTGTGTAGCTCTTTTCTGCATTTATTTTTCCTCTGTGACTTCCAGATCAAGCTCTTTCAGTTTGACATCAAAAGACACCTATTTGGGATCCAATTTAGGACAATCCAGTAATCAGTGCAGTACCTTCTCTCTTCTTGCTACCTCTCATTCCTTGGGATGATTGTCAGGGTTTGGGGTTGCTCTGGCCCCTATGAGACTTGGGTCTCAGTGTCAGCTCTTGACAACAATCAGGTCAGGTGTCACACAGTTGTCAAGTTGTGGGTTTCAGCCTTCAGGAAAGGTGTGGTTCTTAAGATTCCATTGGTCAGCTTGGCAGTGGGAGCTCCTGCCTGTAATCCCATCTACCTAAGAGCCTCAGATCTGAGGATCTTGGTTCAAAGCTAGACCCAGCAGACAAATCTGTGAGACTCTTATCTTCAGTGAACCAGAAAAAAGAAAACAAACCAAAACAAACAAACAAGTGGAGGTGTGGCTCAAATATCAAAAGTCCAGTCTTGAGTGAAAAAACTGAGGGAAAACATGAGGCCCGGGGTTCAAGCCCCAGTACCAACATAAATAAACAAATAAATAAGGAAGTAAATAGGATAGATTCCAAGGGTAGAGATCACAGTTCTATTCTGTGTCCCTCTTCTAATAAGATACAGGGAAGTGAGCCGAGGATACTGGGATAGAATGAATGAGTTGTTAATGGTGGGCTGACTAGTTAATGCCCAGAGAACATAGTGCTCTGTTGTAAATGATGTCTGGGGGTCTTGGGAGAGAAGGAATGGTGTAATCATCAAACCTTGTGAAAAAGTAGTGCTCAGCCTTTCTCCTCCCACTGAGGGAGAAAACAAAGCGAAATCTCTAAATCATGTCTTCTGCAAATGGGTGAAGATACCTGCTCTCAAGCTTCACCAAGGAAGTGAAATTGTTTCTTGGGAGGTTATAAGTGTGGAAACATATCGTTTTACTTATAAACCACAAATATCTATATTTAGCACATGAACAGATATATTAATCTCATTAAAATTTTACAACAGGGATTGGAGGCATGACTCAGTTGGTAGAGCACCAGCATCAGGTACTGTGTTTGAGTCCTAGTCTCAGACCTAAAAAAAAAAAAAAAGAACAGAAAAGAAAAGGAAAGGACATTTTATTATGGAGGTGATTAGGAAAATAATTGGTTAAAAATATGCCTAAATGGGTGTTGATGAAAAAAAGACAGAAAGTGCTAAAGAGTTGGGGCATTGATGGAAGTAAGTCAGAATCCTGGGAGGTAACAAACAGAACTGGTCCTAATTCTTGACTGCAGAGGTTCTGCAGAAGGAGCTGCCAACACCACTGGAATGATAAGCATTAGGACTTTCCACAGGGAACTCCCCACTCCTGTCTTTGAAATTAGAACTTTGAAAGCCACACTGGGGTAGTTTCTGTGATTTCCCATATCATCTGCCATTTGATTTGCCATACCTCCAGTTGGAAATTGGTGTGCATGCTGCTTCTCTGTTAAAAATGGTCTCTTTGGCTGGGCGCTGGTGGCTCATGCCTGTAGTCCTAGCCTCAGGAAGCTGAGATCTGAGGATCAAGGTTCAAAGTCAGCCTGGATAGGAAAGACCATGGGACTCTTCTCTCCAATAATCTACCTAACCCGCCCCCTGAAAATTCTGGAAGTGGAGCTATGACTCTGAGTTTGAGCCCCAGGATGGACACTTAAAAAATAAACAAAACTATTTTTAAAAATGATTTCTTTAATGTGCTGGAGAAAGTATTCTTTTCTTCCTTCTTGTCCCTTTTAAGTGAGAAGGAGAAACAGCTAGGATTTTGGAAAGGAATAGCACTCAAGTCTCTTATTTTTCTTAAGCTTTTTAATCAGGGCCACTAGAGAAAGATTCTGAGCAATGTGCTGGTGGTTGGCACCTATAATCCTAACTACTGAAGAGGTTGAGATCTGAGGGTGGAGGTTTGAAGCCAGCCTGGATAGGAAAGTCTGTGAGACTCTTATCTCCAATTAATGACCAAAAAAACCTGCCAGTGGAGCTATGGCTCAAGCGGTAGAGCATCAGACTTGAGCGAAACACAAGAATGAGACCCTGAGTTCAAGCCCCAGTATTAGCACCAAAAAAAAAAAATCTGAGCCAGTATTTTTCAGAAGAGGATAGGACCAATTCTGGGGACATCTGGTTTTGATGTCTTAAGGACTGCCAGTATTATTCTAGCATACCTGGCCAAAGCTCCAGGCTGCTGAGGAGGAGGCCCCTCCTCATTCTGCATAGGCATAGGGAGGAACACAGCTGGCAGCGACATCTGGGTTTCCTCAGATTCATGAGAAAGGGCCCTCTGTCACCATGGGACTAGCATGTGCTAGTGCCCTGGGATGGTGTGCACACACCTGGATTCCTGGATTTGGTTTACTCTTTATATCTCTCTGATTTTCTCTTCTTCCTCCTCTTCCTCCTCCTCCTCCTTCTCCTCTGCTGCTGCTGCTACTACTGCTGCTGCTTCCACTTCTGCTTCTGCTTCCACTTCTGCTTCCCTTTCTGCTTCCTTAGTCTTTTTGTCTTTTCTTCGTTGGTCTCTTCATTGGGACCGGGCCATGTACAAATCCCAACCATTCAACAGTGCTGGAGAGTAGATAGTATTTACCTCAATAATGGTAGTCTCTTTTCGCTTCTTTCTAACCCTCAATTCAGATGATGGTTCCAAGCCGACACCCACGATGGAGACCCAGCCCATGTTTGATGGAGATGGTAAGTCTGAACTACTTCCAGTTCTCCTTCCAGCCATTTTCAGATTGGGGAAAAGGCCTTACCTTTAAATGGTTGCTTCAGCTTCATTACCATTATTTTCTACTTTAATTTCAATCTTTTTTCCAGTGTAAGCTGAATTGTTTTAACCTTTTAAAAAATACGAATCCTCCAAGGAGTTCATATTGCTACACTCCCATTGGCACAATGCACCTTCCTACTGGTACATGCTCCACTTCTGGAATGGTCTTCTGCTCTCCTCAGGCTTCCTGTTTCCTGTTGTCCAACAACCACACAGAGCCTGGTCAGACCCTCTGAGCTGCCAAGACCAGGGAATCATGGTCTGAAAAGCCAAAAGGCTAGCAAAGCCAGCAGTTCCCCTTCTGTACCTGAATTAGCACTTTCAAATGTCTGCCTTGTGCCTTACATGGGGCACGGTCCCTAGGGGATGAGAGGAAGAGTCTATGAATACCAACTTTTACTCTCAAGACAGTGGCAACCCTAGAGAGCTTTGCAGACTAAATTCTATGGTCTCCATTTTCATTTATGGGAGATAGGGGTTACAGTGATTAGGGAAGAGCATCTGTAGAGAGGTGGGTCTTGAACTAGATATTGCAAAGGAAGGGGTATTCTAGTCAGTAAAGGGGTGGGGGGAAACTGGTCTAAACTAGGAAGGAGAGTGATGGGGATGGGACACAGAGAAGGAAGTGACTGGTTAGTGGGGCTGGTCTGGCTGGGGTTGTACAGACTTGGAGAAGGAGGAATTCTAGTGCAGGTGAAAGAGTACTCATGATAGAATAGAGAGGGGTGTCCCTGGAGGTAAGATAGAAGACTTGGGTGCTGAGGTCTGGCCTTCATTCAAGATGCTGCTACTCAGGGCCTCTAATTTTCAGGGACTTTCCTGACAACTGCAGATTGCCCTGAGCAAGAACAGGCAGCTTGACAAAGTGAGTTCCAGGAAGCCTGACGAGGTTCAGTGTCTAGGGCAATGTGAAGCAAACACGAAACAGTAGATGAGTGTATCCAGGCCTGGATCATGAGATATAGGACAGAGAGATAAAAGGAAAGAACACCACTGGTTGACCTCACTGCTAAAGATGTTCCTAGAATAGGCTCATCTTTGGGAAGGACTGAAAGGTAAAAAATCCTTTGCCATTGGTTCAGTTAGTGGAGCATGGGCGAGTCTGTGACTAAAAATTCAGATGTCTTCATGATTCACAAAGGTCCTTGGTTATTGGAAAATGTGGATCCTGGAATGCTAGGGAGGAAATGGAGATCATAGCATCTTTGGAGACCTGCCCAGAATCTTCACTGAAGGCCTGTCACTTTACAGTATTTTCAGGGCCACTAAAGAACACCAAACCTGCTGTCCGTGGGGTAACCAGGTCACCCCAAGGATAATCAGGTCCTGAGAGCTTGGCGGGACCCTCGAGCACTCAGTAAAAGCACTCAGCCTGAAACTTCTCAAGGAAACTGTGAGAAGGGGTTAGAGCATGTGTTAGATCCAGTCCTTTCTTGCCCATGTGGAGCAGAGACTCAGCAAGCTGAGTCTGCTGTGGTTCAACTGTTTCCTCTGAAATGGTCTCTGTGGTTGGTTTGGCGTTTGCTTGTTGATTTACCCCCTTTAAATCTTCTTCCCGGGAAGCAGCTGAGAGGGACTTGGCTTGGCCTGTGTTCCTCACCTCCTGGGATAATATTTTTATTCCTGGATGGAGTGGCTCAGGGCCTCGGGACTCTGACTACTCTGCCTCCCACTACAGGATGCCCTGGCTGGCTCTTGTGAGCCTGTGGGGAGAAGAGCTTCCGTTGTGAGGGATGGAGAGAATGCTGGCCCTGGGACTAGGTGGCTATGTTATGAGGGTGGTATCGATGAAGCCCTATACCTCAGACTTTTTTTTTAAAAAGCTTATTAAAAGTCTCTTACACTCTATGACATATGTTTCTCTTTTCCCAGATCTTCTTTCTTGAATTTCTCTCTCTCTCTCTTTTTTCTAGAAATCACAGCTCCTACCCTGTGGATTAAGCATTTGGTAATCAAAGATTCCAAGCTGAACAACACCAATGTAAGAAATTCAGGTAAATAATCTTCCTTGGATTATATAAACCTAAACAGCTCCAGGACCCCGTTCCCCCATGTTGCTTTATGACTACCTATTATGGTATTTTTTTTTTAAAGAACAAGGTCTTTCTCATGTGACCCAGAACAGCCTTGAACGTGAAATATTGCTGAATTCACCCTCCTAAGGGCTGGGATTACAGGTTATGCTACCAAGCCTGGCTTTATTTTGTGGCTTTTAAATCTTGTTGGTCTTTCATTTCTACAGCTATAAAACAAGGAGTTTGAATAAGTTCATCTCTTTCAACTTTAATTTTCTTCAGTTATTCTCTCAGGTAGTTGAACCTTGTAGCTAAAATAGTATGTTGGCTGTATGTTTTAACATTCTGATCTACGAGTTCTATATGCTATGTGGACGAGTTTGAAAGAAGAATGGCTGGATGTAAGAAGTTGAACTTTAAGTCTGGAGAGGCCTCCTTTGGTATGTTTCTATGGTTCTAAACACTATGTGCAGTCATCTCTTTTCTGATATGATCTTTTGGGGATTTTTGTGAGTGGTCAGGTTTTGGTATGATTTAACTCTGAAGGAAGCTGACAGTTTCTGAAGGGTGATCAGATTTGTAGAATTTATTTGTAGAGTTTATTTACCATTGGCAAAGACCAAAAGCAATCAAGTTCATTTACCATAAATAAAGACTAAGTTTCATTCACAGGAAATGTATTAACAAACCAAATCTGTATCTCTTACAGAGAAGATCCTTCTTTCAGCTTCAGTATTTCTCTGTTGTGAGAAATATTACTTTGTATAATTTGTGTCTGGTGGTTGAATTTAGCTGTCATGCTATATGCCAGCTCTGTCCTACAGGGGGCAGTGTGGGAGCTAAAGTGCAGGGTCTGGGGCAAGAGGTGAATCCAATAGGAACTTGTGGATTTTATCTGTGACTTGACTGGTCTTCATGTGCCTGACTCTGTTGGGTACAAGATGAGTGTGGAAAGGTAAGATAGATGGAGACAGTGTGAACTCCTTTAGACCAGAGTCTGTGACAGAATAATATGGTGGTGAAAGCACAAGCATGTGAATCAGCAAGATCTAGGTTCACATTCTGGATCCAACATTTAGTGAGTGATTCTATTAACTCCAATAATCCCTGCAGGGCCTCAGTTCTTATCTGTAGATGGAATTATGATCTATCCTTCAAATGACAGTAGTTAAAAGTTTACTAAACTGATGTTCTGAATGGTACTTGACTGAAGCCTGGCTGAGTGACAGATAGTAAGTGTATGATAAGTTGTATGTGCATCTATTGTAATCATCATTGTTAGTAAGAACAACATAGATCTTAATGATTGTGCTTATTGTGAGAATTCTTCAACTTAGAAAGACTGTCTGATTGGCACATCAAGCAAAGGTATCCTCACACAGGCTTCTTCTAAAGATTTCCCTCTTCTCCTCATTACTAATTATGCAAATAGGATAAGCTTACCTAAGAGATGTAGGTTTGATGCCTGTAGTACCACATGCTGGAAATGACAGTTGCAAATGATCTTCTCTGTCCCTGAGATCCTGCAAGGCCCCAGAGAGAGGATTAATTCTCATTCTGTGACCAAGTGGGGGACAGGAGGCTGAATGCTCTGAATGCATTACCTTTTGCTGGAAACACTCACTTGGCATTTAGCAATTGTTTTCAGGAATTTCTTTTCCATCTACTTAGATTATAGTGTCTGCAAGGGCAAGGGCTTAAATGTCTTTTACTATCTATTATAGAATATAGCTCAATGGATTCCTTTGCTTCAAGGATGGTAGAAAATCAGACTAACACTGTCATAGTAGCTCATCTTGTCAAATCCTGAAGAACTTTACATTTGTTATCTTAACCAAGCCTCTTTTACCATAATCCTATGAGATAACTATCATTTCTGCCACCATCTTATACAAGAGATAAAGGCAGAAAGAGAGAAGAAGTGACATGAGTTGGGTCATAGCTTGTAAGTAGTTGGACTAGAGAAAGCTAGTCATTTGTGGGAATCAAATACCTGTCTTCTTAAGCCGCATTCTCTGAGTAGATGAATTGGTGATACCAAGTTCTGTTTCCCTTCCCTACTCTGCTTATGTCGCTTCCTATTGGATGAGTATAGGGTCATGCTGAGAGATGGTTCCCAGGTAGATGCAACCACTTCCTTTTTGGAGTGACCTAGCCATCTTTATTGTTTTTCCTCAGAGTCTCAGGTATGTCTGTTTTCACATAGGTCAGGACAGTGGCCAAAGAACGGAGAGTTCCCTGGGAATAACTGAGACCAAAAATAATTATGAAATATCAATCCTAGTAATCTTCATCATGGTCACCTGGCCATAATGATTAAGTGCCTGCCAACCTTTTTTATGTAATTATAGATAGAAGACACCGTTTCACAAAGGGCATGTAGCAGGTATTTTGGCAAATGAAGTTGTATTGGAATATAGGCACACTCATTTTATCTATGTATTATCTGTGGCTGTTTCCATCTATGTAAGTTTGAATGGCTGTGGTAGAGCCTGTATAATGTGCAAGGCTTAAAGTATGGACTTTATGATCTTTTACAGAGAAACTTTGCTGCCCCCTAGCATATATGATTGACTAGAGGAATTGGATAGGAGTGTGTCTATGGGGTTGTCTCTCAAGGGTTTTTGGTCCCTTTGTAGACCAAGCAGAAGTAGGAGTTGTGGCTCCTGAGCTGCTTCTTGACCTGCCCAGGTAAGCCTGCATTAGTACAGGAATTCCCAAGACTGCTCACAAGGTTTCATCGTCTCATATGGACCATTCTCAAGCTCTACCATCTCATTCCCACATGTCCTTGGGTTGCTAAGAAACATCCTAAGGGTCTGGTTTTTGTAGGCAGTGGGGCATAAACCCATGTAATAGTCAAGTATGGCTTTGGAATCAGATGTACCCACAGGCCCAGTTTCAAAGCTAGCTTCTCACTGATAGGATGGGTGATCTTGGGAGGGTTAAACAACTTCCCAAGTCTTGGCTTACTTTCACAACAAATGAAATAGGTATCTTGAAGGATTTCTGTAAGGATTCATGCAGATATATAATTTTAGGCACATAGTAGGTGCATTCTCGTGACTTAAAAACAAAACAAAGCAATGGCTGCCCCAATAAAGGGTATTTATTTATTATGCTAGTCCCTTTTCACATGTTGGCACTGTAAGTTTAATGAAGAGTCAGACATACTTTGATGAAAACTTGTATCTGGACAGCTAGCTTTGGGAAGGACTGGAGGCTTGGGGGTCAAATGCCTGACAGTGTTTTCTGTAAAAGTTGAATGGAGGATTCTGCATTCAAGCAAATGTCTGATGCTTGTAGGGGAAGTTCGGCCCCAACTCTGTGAAGTCTACCTGGGTGAGAACTCTACTTCTCAACTGTCTCAGAGGAGAAGCAAGAAGGATATTCCAGTTTCTTTTACACCCCAAACATCCTTTTTTCACACTCAGACCCTGTGACGCCAGTTTTGGGTTTTGGCCTGGGGACTGTTGATGTTGGAAATGTTCCACTGGGTGCCTGAAGTTGTGCAATAACATGACACACATGCCTGCAGACATATCCAGTCTCTCTTCCTGGAGGTTTTGGTCCTTGTTTTAAAGGCTTTGTCACATGCTTAAATTATGGGCAATGTCACCCATAGGTGTTTAGGTGTCTGCAGATTTGACCTTCTCTTCCATTCTTATCTCCATTGTCCTTTTCTTGCGTATACCATGGCATGACCCCCATTCATGGAGCCATAAACCCTTTTATGTGAGGAGAAGTATGTACCTGTCCAGCAAACACCCTGGACTCACGATAGATGAAGACTGGATAGAACCTCTACTGCTTTTATAAGAAAATAAAGCCGGGCACTGGTGGCTCACGCCAGTAACCCTAGCTATTCAGGAAGCTGAGATCTGAGGATTGCAGTTCAAAGCCAGCCCCGGGAAGGAACGTCCTCGAGACTCTTATCTCCATTTAACCACCAGAAAACTGGAAGTGGCACTGTGGCTTAAGTGGTAGAATGCTTGCCTTGAACTGAAGATCTCAGGGACAGCACCCAGGCCAAGTTCAAGCCCCATAGCTGACAAAAACAAAAAATAAAAACAAAACAAAACAAAAACCTGATTTTGTACCAGGGATTATCCACCAAGGCATTTTTTGAAAAACTCTTAGAGCTTAAACTGTTTTTTTTTTAAAAAAAACTTTACCATCTACATTTTATTGAAGAGTATAAAAAGATGAAATAAATGACAAGAAATAGGCTTCATCTCATTCTTTCTCCTCTCCTCTTATCTTCTTTCCTTTCTTCTTACTTCTCTCCTCTCTTCTCTCTTCTTCTCCTCTCTCCTCCCCCCTTCCTCTTCTTCTCTTCTTCCTCCCCCTCCTCTTCTTCCCCCTCTTCTTCCTCCCCCTCCTCCTCCTCCTCCTCTTCCTCCTCCTCCTTCTTCTCCTCGTCCTCCTCCTACTTAATTTCCCCACATGCACATACATATAGCACAGACTCCAGGCCTAGTACTTGCTCTGTTTCTGAACCACATACTCAAGCCCCAGGCCTATCCTTTGGTTTCTAATTTGACCATATGCAAACTTTATGTCTCTTTGTGTCTGTATGTAATATATTTGTCTTTTCCCCCTATATGACAAAATTCTGTGATTCCTCCCCAGAGAAATCCACGGTGTCAAGAAATGGGGTCATGTACATTTCCTTCTCTTCATGCATCACAACAACCTTCCCTAGGCCCACATCTAATAACCCTCTACGCCAAGGGGTTGGACTATATCTCATAATCTCTAGTTCAGTGCTTTGATTTTTCCCTATTGTATCCCTATCTCTTTCTCTCCTTTCTTCCTGTCCTTTCTAGTTAAATGGTGATCAGATTGGGAACTTCAAGAAGGTTCTAGAATGTGACCCTGTGAGTTAAACCCAAGAGCACCATGCCTTTCCTCCCTTGCCTCCTTGGCCAGCAAAGCTTCTGCCGGTACATCCGTGAATGAAGCAGCTCGTGATACCTCTGTTTCCTGGAGTCAGTCATCAGCAGGGACACAGGTGGAAATGCATGTCTTACAGGTTTTGCCTTGAAAAAAATATTCCCATCTCTAACATGAGAGGGTCAATGTTTTCCCAGGACACCACAATGTGTGTCACAGGAAAGCTTTCCACAGCTGCCCTGCCATTACCTGTTGGGGCAGATCCTTGCTCTTCTAGCCCTGTTTTGGGCCTATCGGCCACATCATGGACCTTTTTTTCCTCATCCAGAAAGTTCTTGATGGGTTCGTTGCTATGCTTGGTATATGGGGTCACTGAGGCAACAGCACCTCCTGGCTGGATTGCCCAACTCCCAAGCCTGCCCTCCTGGCCCACGGAGAAACCACAGGCTGATGTAATGACCTGGAGCCTGGAAAAATAAACAGCTCGCAAGGAAACCAGCAGTAGCCGTCGTAAGCAAATACTCCACAACCACCTGGAATCTCGCACATGACGTGATTGGGAGGAAGAATGAGTAATCCGCTAACGTTAGCAATTGAGGACGGGTCTGGGCTTGTGTGCATTTAAAATATCTCTATAAAAACAAACTGGGGATATTTATTTCTATAACTGGCCTTCTGGATACCTGCCCATTGATCTCTTGCAGGTGCCTTGGTCAATTCTGGCCAATAAAATTGGCATGGGGATGGGACCAGGTGGTCATCCCTAGAGCTTTCTCCATAGCAACAAATACTTTTTTTTTTTTACCCTTTCTCTAGTTTTCTCTTTATTGAGAATCAAAAGGGAAAAGCTCCATGATCAAAAGCCCATAGTTGAAGGGGGGGTTTTAATCACACTTAGAGGCCCCAGAGAGCCTAGCTTATCATCTATTTTTTACCTCATTTGAGAATCAGCCTTCTTAGTTCCCCAGGTCCTTTGTCCCCATTGTCTTCTTGGAACACAGATGTAGTAGTGGGATGGGAGGTGTGTGGATGCTGATCCAACCTCTGGGACTCACTCCTCCAGCAAAGGTCTTATTTCTGGCAATGAGTTTATATACTGTTTGGTATTTGACAGCAAAAGCATATGTCCAAATATTTTCTTTTTCTTTGTTACTAAGATCCTGCTCAGGATTTTATAGTTGGCTTGTTCCAATTTGCAGGAAGTCAGTGATGGTCTCTGCTTTGGTCTGAACATCCTCATTGTGTATTTATTTGTACAATGACTTTGGAAGTAAACATTGTATATCTATCTATCTATACATATATACATATGTATATGCTTATGATATATGTCATATATATATATACAGATATGCAACACTGGGGAATAAAGTTAGAATATTTCTTTTTGCTTGTGTCCTGGCACTGGGCCTTGAATTGAAGGAGTGGGTACTGTCTCTTAGCTTTTTTGTTCAAGGTTGGTAACTCTACCAGTTGAGCCATAGCTCCACTTCTAGCTTTTCAGTTGTTTTTTTTTAAATTGGAGAGAGGAATCTCATAGATTTTTCTTGCCTGGGCTAGTTTTGAACTATGATTCTCAGATCTTAGGCTTTTGAGTAGCTTTGACATTTCATCTTAACAATTTTTTAAAAGTATCTCTTCCATCTTCCTTTTGTGCCCTCTTTTTCTTCATGTTTGAAATTTTGTCTTCTAACTTTTTTTTCTTTTTCTTTTTTTGGTCAGTCATTGATTGGGCTTGAACTCTGGGCCTGAACACTGTCCCTCAGCTCTTCACCTCAAGGCTAGTGTTCTACCACTTGAGCCACTGTACCACTTCCAGTTTTCTGAGTGGTTTATTGGAGATAAGAATCTCACGGACTTTCCTTCCTGGTCTGGCTTAGAACTGTGATCCTCAGATCTCAGCCTCCTGAGTATCTAGGATTACAGGCATGAGCCACTGGCACCTGGCTGTCTTCTAACTCTTGTTCCTTAAAGTACAGAGCCTGTCAAGTCAACTTAGTTATTGGGAAAAACTAAGAGACAATTTGCTATTTTTTAGAACCTGTCATTGCAAAACTGCTTTGAAGCATTTCCTATTCTTTTTGGAGGATGGGCCATAACTGCTTGCTTCATGGCATGAGTCAAAAGAAACAGGAAGGTATCTAAAACTTTGGATCTGAGTCAGATGATGCTTTTGGGAAAGAGCTCAGAAGAAAAATGACTACAAATGCTATATGGAGGCAATCATCCCAGAGGAATTTCTATCTTGTTTTCTCTCTGCCCTTTGGAGCTCAGCAGCTGTCTGTGTGGGAAGGAGAGGGTTACCACTTCAGACCATGTTGAGCTGTACATGGCCATTTTAGGTTCTGCAGGGAGAAACTATTTAGACAGGCTGGTTGGTTTGTAATTTTTCCCTTACACTTCCTCACCATGGCATTTCATCCAACCGCATGCCCTATTTACAGGGACAATTGCAAACATCCCTGGGGAGATGTGGCCTCATCCAGCATCAGGGATGTGAGATGGGCAGTGTTTGTTCTGCCTGAAGATGCCACCTTTGAGACATGCCAGGTTAGGTGTGGCTCACAAGGCACACAGATGTGCTGTGAGAAGAGGTAAGTGATACCAGAAAAACTCAGAGAGCGTAGAGCAGGCTTACCCTTGACTTGGCCCCCTTCCTGTGCTTTTCTTCCTCTGGGACTTGGGAAGCTAAGTTTGGCACAGAGCCCTGGTCCATGAGAAAGAGCACCTGATCCTGTCTAACTGTCAGTTGTGAGCCATTAGTGTGGGAAACATCTGGGAATCAGTACCATCACTTTATTTTCAACAAGAGAACACTGAGTCCATACTTTTTGGAGGGCTCTGTCCAGAGTTCCAGGGCTTACCAACAACTATGATGTGCCAAGATCTCCGTTTGCGGGTCATGGGTAAGGGAAGCAAAACAGTGTGTCTAAGGGAGGAGCTGGCCATAGGGCATAACTTCAACAAGGAAGGGGGCATGGTGCAGCCTATTACAGTAGGAAAAATCCTTTATCACTAATATTGTTTTGAAGTTCTGGCACAGTAAGTATGAACTTCTATTTCATCCCATCTGTCTGTCTGTCTATCCATCTCTCAATCTGTCATTCTTTTTTGTACCAGTACTGGAGCTTTCACTCAAGACCTCATATTCTCATTTGGGTTTCTTTTCATTCAAATCTGGCACTCTATCACTTGGGCCACATTTCCACTTCTGGCTTTTTCCTTTGCCCTGGCTGGCCTCAAACTGCAATCCTCATATCTCAGTCTACTGAGTAGCTAGGATCACGGGCAGCAGGCACCAGCACTAGGCTAGTTACATATTTTTTTTTTAACTCATCTACATGAAGTGTAGCTCTTTTGGCAGTGGAGTAAACTGATCCTATTATCTGTCATTGATCAGCCACTGCCATCCAGATAAGGAGGCTGGTCATTCACAGGGGTAGTCAGAGGCCCAGATTTACTCCACCTATCCCTGAGGACACTGCCATCTCAGACCAGCTTCCATTGCAACTGCCATTTTTCAATGTACTTTAGACACTAGGTTAAATGCTTTACATCTGCTATTACACTTTTTTTAATTTTTTCTTTCCCAAGCTACATGTTTTATTGCATCAACTTTTCACAAGGACCCCATGAAACATGCTCAGGCTACCCTACTTTTACATTAGGACATTATGAAACTAAAGTCAACTGGCCCAGGTCACAGAACTAACAAGCCGGGGAGGCCTGACCCATTGATCCTAAAAGTCCATGCTCTCACTGCCATGCAAGATGACCTCTCTTCCAGCTGTTGTTGACTTCTATGAAAGCTTCCAACCAGTCCCTTTGGTGGAGCAAGTAAGAGTGAGCATGATCTGCATGGGTACTCTTGCTTTCAGCCTGGCAGAGGACTCCTAGGTCTCCCCACCCCCAACTGCAGCTCCTGGGACATTCCCTGTGAATGAATGCCTTTAGATCCTTCTGGCATTGAGGAAATGGTCATCTGGCTGAAATTTGACACCATCCCCACTCCTCCCCCTTGGGGGAAGCTGAGGAGGACCCTTGGGTAGTTCCTTCATCAGAAGGGGTGCCTTCTCCAGAGTGTTCTGAAAGGTCCCCTGGAGGCTACACCTGGCAGATGGTGTAATCTTTCTCACTCCCCTTTGCTGCAGATTCTATGGAGGAAGAGCTTTTTAGCTAAAAGGAGCCAAAGAAACCAATTCCGATGGAAGAAACAACTTTATTAAGTTAGGACAAATTCTTACTGCTCCCTGCTACACACCTGGACACAATCCTATGGGCTGATTTTGTTCTGTTTGCTAGGGTGATTTGCTTTTTCTTCCACCCTGGCAGGGATTCTCTTCTTAGCCAGTTATCTGCCCTCTGTCCTGAAGGGAACTCAGAGCAATTGTTGTGTGGGCTCCCCTCCTCTTCAGGCTTGTCAGAGTCACTGGGTGACTCTGAGTCACAGGGACGTGAAGGCTTGGGAATTGACTCTGGCCAAGTGGCACTGAGTGACACGGGTGATGGAAAGCCCATGGTGAAAGAGCAGGGCCAGTTCAGCAAATGGTGCTTGGAAAAATGACCCTCCAGAGACCACTTAGCTCCTCCTGTGAAAAAATTCAAAGTCTGCAAGTAAGAAAAATAACCTATTCACGTAGTTGGCTTAAAACCATAGGTGCTAAAACCCCATGTGGCAAAATAAACAGCAAGGGCCTGCTCAGTGATGTACCATAAATCACTGCCAAAGATTATGATTCTAGCAGGCCCCTCTCCCCAGCACCACGGCTCCAGCCCCTGCACTGGCCTTCCCTGAGCAATAGAGTCAGTTCCTTAAAACTGGGCCCCTTCTTTCTTTCCTTGTTTTTTTTTTTTTTTTGGTGTTTTGTTTTGTTTTTTGCCTGTCTTGGGGTTTGGACTCTGAGCCTGGGCTCTGTTCCTCATTCTTTTGCTCAGGGCTAGCATGCTATCACTTGAGCCACAATGACACTTGGCTTTTTCTGAG